TATCCATTCTTCTATTGGTATGTACAATATGAAGTAGCTACGATGTGTTGTTGAAGCTACAGAAAATGAACAGTCGATTTTTGCATAGCATTAGTACCGTGATCGCGTGATCAATCACGTACGCTCCATCTGCCCGAGAAGGGTGTTCTCTTGCTTGGCCCTGACCATGCTATTGATGTTCCAAATCCTGTCGTTCGCACGTGTTCCGGCTCTTCGAGCGCTTACCATACACCCCGTGTTCGAGCGTCTATCACACGAGGAAGGGCTAGCGACGATCCACGTACCCCGTCGCGCGCTCTTTGGGCGTGCTGATCGCCGCCAATTCAGGAATAGCGCATTCAAGAGAAAGCGCGCCACTTCAACTCATCCCGCGGGCTGTTTACAACACAAGTGCGCCACCACGTACCTTGAAGGGCGAACGGAAGGCCGCGCACCGAGAAGGTACGTTAGTATCGCGTTTTCCGGTTCCAGCAACTCTACCGATCGCTCAGCGGTGCTAATGGCTACGTGCGGAACATCTAGCCCATGAATTTGCACGCGCTCCTAGGCCATGCGTCGCTCTGCGAGGTGTGCGGAGAGTGTGTAAGCGCGCCGTCGTACACATTGATCTGCCTCACATTCTACCGTCCTGTCAGAGAATGGCTGAGCGGTTGGGTGGTCGTACGCACTGTCTAGGAACCTGGACACAAAATCGTCTATCGATGGATCTGTGAAGTCAAGGGCTATGTGCAGCTGAGGTTTGTTGAAGGGACCGTCAATAACCAAGCCCTGCGCTCGCGGCTCTTTCTTATGGTCGCACGAAGAGGGCATCGGAGTCCGCCGCCGGGTCATACAGGAGCCTCGCACAAAATGGAGACGGTCACCCAAAGTGCGTGCGGCGCAGATTTTAACACGCCCGAAGTCGAACTGCGGAAGACAATGCGAGCATCGAGTGAAGTACGCGTACAGTCGACTCTCTCATAACCCATACCCCAAAAAACCATATATCTTTATAACCACGGGGTTTCCACACCCCAAATCAGTATGTGAGGATAGGTCCAGAGCTATATTTTCAGATCTATAGATTTTTGAGGATCAACAAGTATGGTTTGCAGGTCATAAAATCCCACAAGTGGGTATGGGTTATGAGAGAGTCGACTGTACAACTGTCGCTCTCGATTGGCGGAACAAAAAGTCAACTTCGATCAAAGGAACAACACGAGACCTCACAGATCATGGGTTGAGAGGACCAGGGGTGTCTGCCAGCTAGGGCCGTTATGCATCGCGACAAAATCCGATCGCACCTTTGGTACTCCCCACGTTCACATAGGTAAAAAATCGTGGCGGAGCCTTGTCATAACTCTGACCAAGTTATATCAAACCTCTAGTATTATGTGTAGTGGATCGTGGACTAACCCGAGCTCTAAGAGCACGCGGAGGTCGGCGTGTACGGGGTCGCGGCGAGGAGTGCCCGCGCGGGAGGTTGGACTTAGCTTTGGGGAAGCCATCAGCTAGCAAGGCAAGTGGGAGATTTGACAGCAGAGTTGAGTTGACGCATATCATGGTAAATTTGAGGAGAGCCCACATATCCCATCCCATCCTCCTTCCTCTCAAGGGTGCATCGGATGAGCGGACGATTTGGTGAGTCAATCTCGATCCGTCACGGGCACCAGTGTTGAGGCCTTTGAGGTCATGAGAGGTGGTAATCTGGTTGGTGGGGAAGGAGGCTGGAATAGCGCGTCTTCGTGGTCGACACCAGGGCGTCCTAACTGTACGGCGTGCTGCTGTTCGTGCAGAAGAGGATGAGGGCTGGAAAAAAAACCGCCAGAAAGTCAACCTTGCTCCATATCGCTGACGCGTAGCGGAATGTACCTCACCTTCCCCGCCCCTTTCTCGACCGCCCAACCAGCACGGGGCTGCGTCCTCAGGCTCTCGATCACGCCCTGTCAAGCCCTTCGATCCTTCCGATTCAAGCCTGCCGTCAGAGTCACCGACAGCGTGTCCAAGTGTTATGAGCATGCGATGTCCCGCAATCCAGTCCCGCAGTGGAGGCGTCTGCTGGCGTTGAGTCCCCTAGGCGGCTGCATGAGCGTATAAGATCCGTCTGCTCGGGTAAAAGACGGACCAATGGTACAAAATGGAGAGAGGGGGGGCCAGAGCTTGAAGAACAGAGAAGCTGTCGCTATCTCGGGATCGAGGACGATGCGTCAGCGCATAGACGAGGGATCGGTCGAGGAAGCAGGGGAAGGGAGAGGGGGGCCTTTGTCGCAATACCGTTCGACCACTTATGATAGGCGTGTCCGATGCGAACGGGGTCCAGACACTTCACGCTTTTGGCGTCCAAGTAATTGGCCGTGTCGGGACCGACCGTGGGCTCCCAGATGTCCCTGAGAGGAGGACGGTCGGAGTCGAGAGGACTAAGCTCTTTGGGAGTAAGGTATGCTTCCGCGTCCCGCGGCTCGATCCAGATGTCGATGCTCGAGCGAGCGATGAAACGGGGATTAGAGTATAGGCCATAGAAGTAGTACTTGACCTGGACGGGCGAAAGAGGGTACGGAGTAGAGACTCCTATGCACCGTACCCTCCTTCGCACGTTTCGTCGCTGTCCTTGGTGGTGGACATGGCTACAGGGGCAGAGATAAACGTGGTCGTTTCAGACACTGGGGGAAGAGAACGAGCAACTCACTTGGTGAAGACTAAAAATGCGGTGCAGAGAGTCGAACTGGCCTTCTTCAACCCCAGTGTTATCGAGGTCGGGTGGAACCTCGACGCATATCAACTTGACTCAAACCAGGACAGAATCGATAACCGAATGTATTCAGTGAAAGGGGAGATCTCTATGATATCGGAAAAGGAAAGCAGTGTCTATGTACGGCTGAGCGAGGGTCCTTAAGTCGGTGTATCGATTCAGCGGCTTGTGTTGTGGTCGTTTGGCTCCTTCTCCTCCCCTTCGTCACCTCCGATGGCCGCCATATTCCGTTCCCTCAACGTCGGCTCTCTCTTTCTCCGGGGAGCCTTGGACCTCGTCCCTTCCTATGTCATGGGATAGCCTCGAGCCCTCCATTCAGGGAAGCCCAGAGGGTGGGTCCATCACCGCTACTGCCTTGGACCTCCGTGTTTCCCTAGCGTTTCCCTTCGTCCGAAGTTTTAACCTCTTTTCTTGTCCCCGGACCGAGTCCCTCACGCGCCTGCCTCCCTTCCTCTTCCTCGCCGTAGGTGTCGGCGGGATTTTCTCGCCTGCCTCGCCCACCCTCCGCTCCGACTAGGTTGGACGGGATCGTCGCTCACTCTCCATTCCTCGTATGGACGATATTACCGTCCCTTCGTCACTCACGCTCGGGCCCCCGCGGCCCCAGACACGGACACGGCAACAGGGATCGACAAACCATGGTCGTGATGGGTGCTACGGTCCTCGGCTCGTGCCTGGCGTCGCGCGAGTACGCGCAGATCGTGTAGGAAGAAGCTCGTCAGCTGTCGTGCTGTCGAGCTTCCCGTACATCTCGAGGGTCTTGCGTATAGCCGCGAGCAGTTTACAGTAGTAGTCCGAGTTATCACCTGGCCTTGTCTTACTTATCAAATGATCAAACCATCAAACCGTTGTGCGTCTCGTCTCGTAGCCGGGAAAATGTCGTTCTCACCTACATTAGCGCGAAAGGTGCGGGGAAGATACACAGCATTCAACATGACCTACGCCTCCGACTTACTGTGCGAGCTCGACGACCGCGTCGCGCGCCGCTCCTCCCCGCCCCACGCTCTTCGTCTTTTCGTCCGGCTCCACCGTCAAGTTCTCCGAGTCGTCCTTCTTGTTCTCTCCCTCGGCTTCAACCCTTGCTCGAATGTCGTCGGCTTACCTCTTCCGAGTTCGTCGACGCCTTGCAAGCTGGCAATGGAGCCCTCAAACTTGACCAACTCTCTCTCTGCTTTAACCATCGCCACCTCTGCTTTGGTGATGCCTCCATTTGTGATGTCGATGTGTAGCTTCAGGCCATCGACTTTTGACTTCTGCGCAAGCAATTGAGAACCACCGATATTGAGATTCTTCCTCTCGAGAGCCTTGATCGCCTCTTCGACTGTATCTTAAGGTGACTGCAACCTTTCGAGCTCGTTCTGGGCGGTGGAATTCTCACGTTCTATAATACGAGGTATTGTTGCCATTGGACTCAGCCCTGAGCGGACAAAGGAACGTCTAAGGAGATAGGGGCCCACGCTCTACCCCTAATCACCCATGCGTCCCCGAGTCGACAACGACACTTGCAAGGCCCAATGCCCATCAGACATTACAAACAAACATTAGGTCATGGCTGTATACGGAATAAAATTCCTAGGTACGCTCAAAGAAACCTAGGCGTCTCCAGCGTGGCTCTCCAGTCTGTACTTGCAAAGTGAGGTTTAAGTGATACTATGACACGTCGCTCGAGACTTCTCCGGCCTTGGCGAAAACCTTTCCCGTTTAGTCTGAGGGTGAGTCCCTTCTAGTCCCCTACCGTGCGACTCGCTTGGCGATCCGGGGTGAGATGTCGCGTCTGACCCAAGGTCTGACCTGACCCTGACCCAGGATGTGTGCGCCGAAGCTGTTCATAGGATCCAAAGGACGTAATGCCGACGAGGCCCGCATTGAAGCGGCGACGCGCAGGCACACTTCGCTTTCATGGATTGGTAAATATGATATACTTCACGTAATCGCTCGCGAGGCGCACCCTACCGTAACTGGAAGTGGCTCCTTCATGGAATAGCTCACAGCTTGTGCGTGCGATTTGTTTCGCAAGCTACTTCTGAACTGTATGGGCGACCACCATGGTTCCTTCTGAGACAGCAAGTCCATTTCTATAGACCGAACACCAAGCCGAACACTTAACTTCAGCCTAGGCATCCGTCCTTTCTTCCGCTCTGCGCCTTTCCTTTGACAAATATTCATCAAGACGGTGTGAATGCGAATAGATATGGCATCGAGAGACGTCCAATTGTGGTCTTGTACGGCAAGGAAGAGGACCAGATCGCATGGGAGGGCCTGATGACAACAAGGGCACATGGTGTAGTTGGTTTATCACGTTCAAGATCATGTTCGCTTCGCACTTCGTGGTTTTGCGAAACGTGTCTGGTTCAATTCCGACTGTGTCCAGAGCACATTTTCTTCCTCTTTTTGCAACCTTCCGCGACACATGCACTTTGACCTTAGATCGGTTCTAGTCACTACTAGTGGCCACTGCTACACTTGTCAACCCGCTTGTCTCCGTGTCTCCGGTGCCCCACAAGTGCCAGCGGACATGTTTGCAACGTAGTACAACACACCTCTCTCAACCATTGCGAGACTACTTGAGACTCGACCGGCTTGAATTCTCGGTGTCCACGCCCCTGGGAGATCTCCACATTTCAATCCACTCTGAAGGCATAGGCCGCGCCCGGAGAGAGGGCTCGAGGTGCACTCCTTACGTCGTCGTGGCGCCGCGAGGGCGTCGATCAGTGTTAATGGAGCAAAAATGTGAGCGGCGCTCGGCTGCCCTGCAAGCATTGCCGCCCCACCAGGTGTTTACGGTCAAGCCACTCGTGCGAACCCAGTAGAGAAGTGCGGGGCACAACTTCGCGGTGGAAGGCTTTGGGTTACGAGTGGCCACTCCGGGAATCGAGCACCTAAGTGTGCGTGATCGTAAGACTCTCATTCTTAGGCGATGTGCGCTCGCTCGCGTATTTTCGAGAACCACCTCGCGTCTTCTGAATCAGTGATCAGAAGGTGAGCGGCGGCGCGTTATTGTTGAGCGCAAATACAGATGCATATGGTACCAGAGCACGGACGACGTCATACGGCAAACTGGAAAAGACGACCGACTCAAAATCACGGCCACATTTCGTTGCGGTGGAGTAAGAGCAAAAAACGAACAACGGGTCGGTCCTACTAATCGAGGCCCAATCTCTCGTGTTCCTGCCCGCGGTTGTGAGGAATAGCCGCGGATAGCACCTCGCCCCTACAGCCGTCTGACCGGATGGCCTTCGACTCAACTCCCGCACTTGTCGTCACCCAACAGTCATAGACGAGCGAATCTGAATGAAATCTAATTATGGTATTAGCGGGTGTCATGGAAGATGATGCGAGAAGTGTTTGGCGATCATAGCTTTACCCGTACCTGCAACGCGGCCCGTAGGAGTGCTCTTGTCGCGAATATGCCCTGGTCCCGGTTACTCATGGTCAAACAAATGCCTCCCTGGCAGCATGATAGAGCCGAGGCGTTCCAGTTGTACGCAGAGGATCGAGGCGCAAGGACGACATTGGGGCTTAGAGCAGGCTGGGTAACAAGTCCGGTGGTGACAAAGAAAGCGCAGCAAGATGATGATGAGTTGCGTGAGTATTGTCAATACTCTCGGGGCCGACAGGAGAACACCGTTGCGCCCCATACCCATGCATTTCCTCGGAATCCGCGGAATCCAAGACGCGATCCGGCTGAGTATGGTCGTTTGAGCAAATGAGATGGAGAAACGCCGATCAATACAGGCCACTGAGGTGGTGCCTTTGTAGCTACAATGTAGTGGAACGCACTAAGATAATAATAACAATCAAATCACAAAATTAAGCCCTGCTGTCTAGCGGCCGCCCCTACGTAGGCTCGTGTAAACTTTCTTTTCGCCGTCTGGAACCTTACGATTCCGCTTGTCCCGAGATTTAAATATTAGAGAACGTGCCGGCGCCAGTTTTGATTGTCGTGTGCTTATTGATCTGGTGTCCCGCACCGTAGATATTAGACTTTCGCCGTCAGAAAATCTGCTGGAAGGGGGTAGAGTCGAAAACTGAGTTTGAGCAAGCCTGACATTAAATTGGGCATGCAGTGTTCCATCGCGGTCAACAAGTGCCAGTGACCTGTAGAGCGAGGAGTCAACAAGTAGAAAAGATTAGACAAATGCGTTATAACGCACTCATTCAGTAAATGAGGTCCCAGGGGCCCGTCATCTAAGCGCATCTTGATCGCACTTTCGGGCCCAGGTTGGAGCTGGCGGGGCCTATAGCCAAAAGGGAGGGAGAAGATACGTTCGTAGGTATCACCGCTTTCGATAGATGATGGCAAGGGTCTCAAGACGAGAAAGTCCCCGTCCACCCAGGTAGACGTGGAGTGATCGCCTAGCCCAAACGAGAGCAACCATCGGCTTTCGGACTGAATCGCCGCGTTTTGGGAACTGACGGAAAATGTAACCGTCCAGATCCGATCTACGTCGAGTAAACTTAGGCGCTACTTCGAACGAAAGTTTTGGCGGGCCTACCAGACGTGACGAACTCGACTTTGACGAGCTTGGACACGCGCATGCGCAGCCGGAATCGCCGAATTTGGATCCGTGCGACGAATGTTCCTGTGCCATCTCGCGCCTCGTCCACGTCTACGACGTCCCCTCCGCCCACGGAGCTTAAGAGCATGGCGTCACTCCGGGAGAGTGGCGAGAGCGCTGGAAAGTGCCAGAACAAATGCTGCAAGAGGGTATTGTTCGACGTCACCATGCACGCAAGGCGAATCGAAGTGATGGTAGTCTCTTTGAGAGGTTGACCAGTGCCCAAAAGTGAGAGAACGAGGGCATGCAAAGCCGCGTCACTGTTCCGCGAGGTCGTTACGTGTCTGTTGAGGATGGCCCAGTAAACCGGGGGTCTCCCGTCGATGAGTGGATCCTGCAAGACGACGGAGAGGTCTAGACCTCCATTCGCGCAAATTTGGTCACACTCCTTGAGGACAGTGTCGTACTCATCGTCAGGGAAATCGTGCGAGAGCAACAATTGTATGCGCGATTTGACCGCTTCGCTGGCTCTTGCTCGTATTATGGCTATGCGGGGATCTTCTTCTGTCCTTATCTTTGTGGCCATCGGGATGGCCTCCAATTCAGCAGTTCGTTGTTTCTTTTTATTGTCCCCATATATCGATTCGGCGGAGCCTTTCCGGGCCGCGTGCTCTGCAAACCATGCCGTGGCACTACGGGTCGCTTTGGATATCTTGGACGCGGAAAACGGGAACCCAGAACGAGACTTGAAGACGCTGAGGTTTAGAGACGGAGCGCGAGTCGGCGGTGAGAAAGTGGAGACTGGAGGTGGCGGAGGTAGCGGAGGTGGCGGGAATGGGGGGATATAAAGGGAATGGGAGGAAGACGAGGCCTGGGCGAAGGAATGGGACGAGGAATGGGACGGGGAAAGAGAACCAGTAAACTGAGACGGCAATTGAGACCTACTCGCAGGAACTTGAGCTTCAATGGTGTCTACCCATGGTTCTGGCTGAGCTGAGTGTGACCAATAGGGCATATCTGAGGGGTCTACCAGCTGATGCTAAGGTGACAGAAGGACAAGTCAAGGGTGAGGAATGGAATAGGGAGGGGGGCAGAGTAGGGTGGTGGTAGACGGGGTAATGGAAGGGGCACCCTTTTGGGATAGAGCATGGGAATGCGAGTGAGGAGAGTTTGCTCTTGAGATGTTTGTACCACTTCTCTAAGGACTTCGATAGCTCCTTTTGGTCGCTATTTCAGTAGCTGAGGGGAATCGGAGATCTCGCCCTGCTGCCTCGAGTTTATCATCCGCACAGAGCGCCTGGAAGTTACACTTTGACGCCATATTCTTCTGCCCATTGTCAGAATTGCGGTGATGTCCCCGTGTACGAGTCTTATGTCAGGGAGAAAACGTGTCTTTATCCGTCGCACGATAATACCAGACTGAGAGTGTGGGTATACAGAGACTCGTCCAAGTGTTCGCTGGCGGGTTCGAGCAAGGGTCCGGGCGTTCCTGGTATCCTGGATGCCACCGTGGGAACGGACCTCATTCTCGTTGAAATTTTTCTGTGGCTACATATATTTTACGACACGTTCCCGACGCAACTCCCACCGGCAGGATTTACATATAACACATGTCGTCCATTTATAGGACGGTATTACCCAACTATTGACCAATATTGACCGCTGGGTTCACAAGTTACGCCTTCTTATCTTTCGTAGCTCTTGTCGACGTTTGTCCTAGGATTTGGGGTTACAGTAACGGTATCCGACACTATCCCTAAACCAGACCTCTGAAAAAGTGCTGCACCCTGTCAGTGATCCTGATCCCCTGCATGCCTGACGTCCACGTACCTTCCAGGACAAACCTGGGACTGAATTCTGTCGGCACGGCGTCATTACAGTAATACACGTCACGACACGCTACGTCTACAACTAGTAATTTGTCTGCCCTTTGAGCCCCTCACCCTCCGATCTCATAATCCATGGCTTCGTGTACTAGTTCAGTTACCCTCGGCGGGGATTAGGTTATATGTGTTCGCCCCATCCATGATCGGCCCTCTTCTTTATTGGGTACAGGTTGTGACCCGAATGGCCTGAACCCACGATAGTTCCTGTCCTCGTCTAGTAGCTCGCTTGTTCCGCATCCCTGCTTGACCTGAGTGCTTCCCTGGCTTTGATCAGAGCTGGCTTCTACGGCCAGTAGCTCTACACGCTCGTTGCGCACTGTGTCATTAACCTTAGAAAGTGACTCCACAGAGCCCAACAATTGATAATGTGCGAGTCCTCGCAGGGAAGGTTCAGCCGGTGCAGTGGGATACTGTATTAAAGCACTTACCCAGCCCGGGAGAGTGACGTGTAACGTATGGTGACACAGTTGGTTGTTGCCTCCTAGTCAGAAAACTATATGGACACACCATCATCAAGTGCGCCTTCCTCGTCGCTGATGGAACGGGGAAGGTAAGTAATGACACTCATATTCTGACCGGATACCTTATGGTATTGTATTTGGGTTCCGGTCTAGGCCAGGCGGTATTGAAACCGGAACAACGACGTAATGGGAAGAGCACTTTTCCGCGCACGACGAAGCCATGGAGCACGTCTATGATTTGCCCGGCGTTGGACCAATTTCGCTAGACGGATAAATTTCATTTTTGCGTGGTTCCTAGAGTGGTCACGTTTCGAGGGATCTCCCGCCTTCCCTGCTTGAAGTTAACTTAGCTGCGTGCGGAGACTGGTCGTATGTAATGTAGCTTGCTTCGAAAATCTGCTGGTCCTCAAAGTAATCTCAAGCCTTCCTCGCCTCACCCACCTCTAGATCCTTCAGGGGATACGTCTTAACCAGTTCTCAGTTCGCGAGATTCAGTAGGAGGCACAAAGACACACTTGGCGCGG